TTGAACGCTTGAGGTCCTGCGTGTCTTGTTCTAGTCCCCCGTTCGCCTCTGTCCATGCGCGTCTCGCCTGTAGTTGCTGAGTCGCACGTCTCGCCCGTAGGGCATACGTTATTTGGGAACCAGCGTCGAAAATGTAATGAAGAAATGCACGTCGTGCTGACAGTCTATAAATCTTCAAATACACTGATTTAGTCCAAGTCAACGACCAAGTTCTGAAGAAATTAAAGCGAAAAAAGTGCTCACACTCGTTGACATGTGCTTATGCTGTTTGCTGAAGGTATCTTATGAACCAGTATGCCTTATTCCTGTTTCCCTTTTTCCCTTTTTTTTAGTTGAGAGTTTTCAAACTGGCAAAATCATGGCAAACAATGAAACTCCTATTCTCCATCATAGCCAGGACACTAAACGCCCTTGGCAACCTGACGGCGGTCCTCATGATTATTATTTTTGTTTTTGCCGTGCTTGGCATGTCCCTCTTCGGCGAGAACTATAAGCATTTCAAGAACATAACACGTTTTCCCGATAGAAAAGGCCAGATACCCAGATGGAATTTCTGCGATTTCACGCACTCCTTCATGATTGTTTTCCGTGTGCTCTGTGGCGAATGGATCGAGTCCATGTGGGACTGCCTCGAAGTGAACGGTTGGAGCTGCACGCTCTTCTTCCTCCTCACGATGGTTCTTGGAAACCTTGTTGTAAGTCAGATTCCACTTTCTAGCCACACATTTTGTCCGATTGTCAAGCTTTGGAGAAGGATGAATTACATGGCTCCCTAAACAGGACATGGGAACAAGAGGGACCGTCCACAATGCACGTCTATTTGCGACAAATGTTAGGGAGAATGGGGTTCGATTTGTGGCCAGGGGCAGGGCTAAGGTTGGCGTTGGCGTTGACTGTATGTTTGTAGTTATGTGTAGGATTACTGTTAAGGCGAGGGCTACGATCTAGGTCTATTTTAGACTCCATTCCCGTACTTTATTCTTATTAACCAAAAGTTAGCCTGGTCTTAAAAAATCGATAAGCGCGATGGGGTCCGATGCCTTTTGCCAAGACTAAGTTCTCACGAAACTAGCTCAGCACAATGCTGTAGGGACACGAAGTTTCCGGTACGCCTACGTGCACAGGGAAGGTTGTCGCGTTATCCTCCTCACGAGGTTCTTTCGGCTTCCAACGTAGACCGAATAGGCCGGAGTCTTATAACAGGAAACGCAAGCGAGATCAGACTTTGGAATAGCTGATTCCGTTCTGGCAGGAGGGATTCCTTCCCCTCAGGATTTAAATGTATCTCGGTAAGCTGCTTTAACACCAATTTATTAGATTTCGATGTCATTCTCGCCTTTCACAGGCTGTTTCGACAAAACTTTATTTTCCGGCCCTTTGGAAGCTAGGATATATTTTATCATGAGAAAGTTGTCCACCAAGCAGATAACGGGGCATGTTCGCTTCGCTACGCCCTAGAACTCAATCTAGAATCCTCACAGGCGTTCGTATAATTACAAGTAAGTAGGAGGACCGATGACAACAAGGGAGACTGAGAGTAACATTTATGGTTTCTCAGCTGTCATAAGTTGGCTACCCCACCCTCGTCGAGGGAGATATTTGTCCTGATTTAACTCAGTCGCGTCAATCAGTTACGCGGTCACCAATGTCCCCGTTTAGGCAGTATTTGTATTACGAGCACTATAATCATCAGGCCCAGGTCCCTTTTGGAGGAGAAGGAGCTTTGAATTGATGAACAATATGGCTAAGGGTTACCACAACCTCTCGTCGTCGTTGATATATTCCCGAGCGCAACCAACAGGCCTACAGACACGTGACTCAATGGTTCAGCGTTTCACTACCTACCGCCTAATGACGAAGAATTCCCGTTTTGAATTCCAAGTCGTCCAGGCCTGAAATGGCTGATAATTAATAAGTCAGAAATAGCTACTTAATTCTCCATATCTTTGCCGCCACTCCTTCTGTGATATGTTCCCCACGCTGAAATACTATTCGGTCGTCACGCGTCGATTAGTTGGGTTCTGCTCAGAAAATAACTTATCATCTATCTTTACACCTACTTAAGATGAGTAAGGGTAGATAGTGCGGTATTACCAATGCAAAAGCCTACTGTCACTTAAGAATAAGTTAGGCAGTGTTCTGGCCTGCATCGATGAAAATGGCCTACGCCTGATCCCTTTCGGTCATCTCGACTCTGTCTCGACTCCCCCTGCTCCTGAGCACAGGGTGGACTTCATCAAAATCGATAACTAGAAGTTCATTCACGAAGGTTTATGCAAACTGTGACGTTTCCTCACAACTTTAAAGTTCGAAACTTTCAACTGCCTTACTCCCATATTTTACAATATGGAACAATCGCAGTGATGGACTATATTGTCCTTACCTACGCAAGGTTCAATTTTGTTTTATAAAGCTGTATAATCAGGCCAGTACTGTTTTATCTCACATTCCACATTATAGGGAAACGAAGTATTTGTACATTACTTTCAGTAGATCTGATCAGTCAGTGTTTTAAAATGGAATTCTCATTTCCTCCAGGTTCTGAGTCTCTTCTTGGCTCTACTGCTCAGTTCATTCAGCGCTGAAAGTCTTCAGGGAAGGGAAGAAGAGCCCGGCGAGCCCAACAAACTTCAGGAAGCTTTCGATAGAATCTACAAGGCGGGTGTTTGGACTCGGATAAAGCTAAAAAAGCTCTCCTCTTACATTGCCCAGAAAATGCGACACAGAAGCAGGTAAGGCTGCTTGGACGGATTTTAAATAAACTGATGCCTCTGCACTTTTAGCCATTTGTTTGCCAACTTTTTTGGAAAGGAACTCCTCACAAGTGTCACCTCTAGAAGAGTAGAGAGGCATCACTAGTTCATGTGGAAAAAATAATAAAACCGAAATACATTACACGCATCATTGAATTTGAACGTTTATGGTGCTATGGATTCCGAATTGGTTTGAACGTCGCTAGCAGCGTTGAAAAGCATCTTGATAATTGTAGCATGAAATTTAATGAACGAATTGGTTCGAAAACTGTTTGAAAGACAACTTGCCGTGAAATTCGGAGGCCGGATTATAATCAGTGACAAGCGAATGGCGTAGAAATGGAATTTTTTTCAAGCATTTTCTTGTCTACCAACCGTAACTTACTTCTATTTTCTACAATCAGATTCCTGATATGAGGAGCTAGGAATATTTAACCGAAACTCTTTTCCTGGCGTGTTCAGATTTAGCAAAACACCAGCCTATTGCTCCCTGAAACAAAGCATTAAAATGTTCAAAGTCGCAGCGGAAAGGGGGTTGTCTGAAGAAGGGATCGAACTCCTGACTCCTGAATTCGTGCCGGACGCTTAGTCTATTAATCTTTAGCAGCTATATTGGCCAAGTGTATGAAGTAGTCTTCATATCCTCATTTCTCATTCTCCAGACCAGCCAGGTCTGTCAAGCTCCACAGGGTAATCTATCTTCAGGTAGGCTTATTACGTCTGAGACACACCGGTCTACTTAATTGATAAAGAATGCAGTTATGAGAAATTAATGATGCCTACAGATGTCAAGTGGAACCTGGAGCTATTAACCTAAATTTAGATCTGTCAGCAGATGGCTAAGGTAATAATTAAGGAATTACTGCAACATTGGGCAGCAGATTCGACAGAAAATGTAACCAAACTATGATAACTAACGACGCATACTGTCGTTATCTAGTGTCCCGATACTGTAACTAATTAATTCAACCTTGCCTCAAGGACAGAGCTGAAACTAAAAGTCATGCTTGAGCCACTGTGTATTGACATTTTCACCGATATTTAAGTGTGCGCATTGAGGTTATTTGCTCATATGTAAGTGTTTGCATTGTGGAATCCTGCATCTTAGGCGACCATACGTATTTGAAATGAGATTTGACGACGAAGATAAACAGGAGTTAAACGTTTCTCAGTAGTTTTCTATGGTCTAGAGCAAGGCAATCCCGGCTGACTAGGAGCAGACCACTTTTGCCTTCGTCCACCTTGATCCTCCTGTATGGATGGACCTTCTATTAGATAGTTTTATTATGGTTGGCAATCCCTAACAGGCGCCACCCAGCCAACAGCCTCGAACTGGCAAATGAGGTGTATTGAGTGCATCTAGATAGAAAGGCACTTTAAGATGGGTGCAAACAAATTAAATTGCCGGGTTTACTCTCAGTCCTTAGGTGCAGCTGCGCGTCGTCAAATTAACCAATAAAAATTCGAAATAAAGTAAGCACAAAACGACAGGTTGTACTTAGAAGAGCGGCCGATGCGTCTTTTGGGAAAACAAGGTTTGTTAGCAAACCCTTGTGGTGTTTAGCTATCTACCGCCGAAGTCTTTTTTGCCTTTTAGGAATCGCGGAATTGAGTCGCTGGCAAAACATGTGAACTATATAGCAAAATCGTCACTGGACGGACATGTCTTGCATAATCAAATCCACGCAAGTTACTCCGGTGGAGATCTTCCCGATGGCACAGTGGATACAGTAAAAACCTTTCCCGGTGAGTCGTTCATAAGGCGATTCCTGGCGCAGCTGTGCACCTTATTGGTCCGGGGAAGGGAGACTATGAATTCAACTGAGCAAGATTATTACCGTAGATATAGAGTGCTATTCGATAATGAGGCATACGTCACTCTGGAGGTGGAGACTCTCCCTTTGAAGCAATTTGATAAATTGCCTAATTAATAGTAGTTCCCCTGATTGCCAATTTGTGCCCGAGGCTGTAAGCAATTAGTCAACTTAAGCAAAATCTGAAAATCTGTAATGCACAGTTATAAGTGACCCCTGTATTTCATGTGATATTGCGTTAACTTCAGGGAACTCGGGGTTAGTGGTAGAGTAAGAGTTTCCGTTAAAAGGTTGGGGGTTGCGGTCTGAGTTAGGAGGATTAATACTAGGATCGGATCCAGGGTTAGAATTAAATTTGGGACACGCGAATAGGTGGCCACTGAGAGTTGGCACAAAACCACCTGTAGTACGGCAGTGGGGCGTACTTGTCAGCCTGCCCAACCAAAGACATTTATAAGTAATTCAAAGTTTATTTGTGTTTTTTGTTTCACTACTTTCAGTAACGTCTTATCTGTTAACGGTACAGCTTAGTCGTTAGGGTCTGACAAATTAAATGCCTTCAAACTCGGAGGAATCTGATGTAATCACCGTAGCAAGACGTTTATTCGCTTGAAGTTTCAGATACCCAATTAAATCCATCACAAGAAACCGTCGCATACCTCTTGTAATAAACATCTGCGGCGGAATAACTCGTTCCGATGATCGTATCACATTATTCTGAAATGCTTCCTAGAACTCGCCTCTTGATTTCTACCGGAGACCTTAAAATATCAAGCCAGAGACGGCAAATACAAGCGAAAATGCGAGTCCCGGGAAGTTGTGGGATACGAAGTGGTCCGGCCAGATAACAGACGATAGAACGTATCCCAACGGTTATGCACTAGTAAATATGATAAGGTGTGGAAGGCCAGAGTGTTATGAATGATTTAATGAAGTGTTGAATGAGTAGAATATAACTAATGAGTAAGTGACTCCCGGACGAGTGCACTCCAGCCAAGAGTGGGCCGGAGTCCAGAGTCGCATTCCGTTCGGTGTAGTCGCCGGGTCTGGAGGTCTGCAACAAGCAGTAGTTCACTTGTTCCCGGAGTGTCTGAGAATAAGCAGTCACCAAATTTAAGGTCCCTTTGTGACCTGGCCTTGGGAAGTGGTTGGCCAGTTGGCCAGACAAGTCCGTGACCTTAATC